TGCTTATGTAGATGAGGGTACGGTGTAGATTTAGTGTATCTGGATTTTCAGAAAGCATTTGACAAGGTGCCATGTAAAAGGCTTGTAAAAAACATTATGGAGGATAAGTTGGTTAATTGGGTAGAAAAATGGCTGGATGAAAGAAAGTTATTATAAATGGAGTTAAGTCAAAGTGGATTAATGTCATAAGTTGGGTACCGTAGGGCTTAGTCTTAGAACCTTTACTCTTTTTGCTTTACATCAATGATATAGATGAAAGAATGGTAAATAAACTACTCAAGTTTATTGATGATATTGAGATCTTGGGTGTTGCTAGCTGTGAAGAGGATGCTGCTGATTTACAAAAAGATTTAGATCATTTAGTGAGTTGGGTAAATATATGGCAGATGGGTTTTAATTATAATAACTGCAAAATAATGCATGCATATTAAATTGAATTATAAGTGCAACTTGGATGGGAATAACCTAAACAGTGTTATGGAAGAAAGTGATCTTGGTGTAACAGTTGATCAGCCATCCAAGCAGTGTGATGTTGCTAATGGTAGGGCAAATAGGATTTTAGGTTGTATCTATAGAAATATTGATACAAGTCTAGAGGTTATAATAGATCAGTATTGCAGAGTTTTATATGCCTTTTTGTTCCTTCACTGTCATTACAAGCATTGGAATTGGGTGAATGTGATGTGTTATATAAATTACCTAGCGAGTCCAGTTTAATTTGAGAATTTGCATATATAGCCAACTTTTTAACAAAGAAACTAAAAAAAGGCATTGACCTACTTATAAATGTTATAATATTAAAGTAATCTTTATACAATCAGATCACTGTCACTGCTTAACCAACACAGTAGTGGGCGTTGGTTTACTATTAATTAATTTTGTGGTGAAGCTAACCAATTACATACCAATGTTTTACTTTTGGAATATTTTTACTTTTATTACCTATACTGATTAACTGCTTTTAATCCTTTTATTTTATGCAAAACGTTTACTTCAACTCTTAGCCTTTTTGTGTTAATAAAATATTTTCATAAATAAGTCAGCTGTTTCATTAATTGAATTGTGGCAAAATATGAAGCACTTGGTAAGATGATATTTTATTATCATGTTTAGGAGTTTTCTCTTTAAATTTGGGAATTATTTCTATATAACAACATTTTTATAACATATACTGCATTCTCTAAAAATAACTTTTCATTCCATTTTTCTTTGTGTGTGTGTATGTAAGCACTGCTTAAACTTTGTTGTTCCTATTTTGGAACATTAAAAAGTTTTTGATAAAGAAAATTCTTACTGTAGCCAAGTTCTGGCTATTAGTTTTGGGTAATATTAAAAAAATAACCTATAATAAAACAGGTTTTGAAGCATGGGTGTCTTAGTTTGGTAATTAATGAGTTAACAGCTTTAGTCTTGGTTCGGTTAATACCAAACAATGCACCATTGTTCAAGTCTTTGTATAATGAAGATTCAACAAAACAGGAGTTATCCTTGAACAAGACATTGTAGAGGATAACTAACATTTTTAGTTTGTGTAATTGGACTCTTTGTCTCTCATCAACACTTACATAGTAGAGATGCTTTGTCTCACTTACCAACACAGGAATGTATAATTTTACAATCAGTACCTTCATGCTACAACCTCAAGTTTTTGTACATTATTGTATAACACAACTAGAACCATGTGTTATGCACAACTTTACATTGAATCTTTTGAAGAAATACTTCAATTGAATGACTATATCATGTTCAACTCACCAACTGTATTATATTAGTACATAAACCAAAGTTCTAAAGCAGTCCACTTAAAAACCACGAACTATTCTATAGTTGATTACTGTATAAAGGAATAAGATTTGAAGTTGGTAGTTTTTATTTCACATGAGAAATTTTATGGTTTCGTAGTAACTTTAATATGTCTCTGAGAAACTATACTGTAGTTGATTACACAAGCCTGCGATGGTTTTATTGTCTTCAAATTTTTGAATGTTCTACAGTAATTCCTGTATGCTGAATCTGAAAATGATATCCATTTGTCTCCATCACGTACAGATTTTTACAAAATGTTGAAACACAATACATAAGAGAATGACTACAAAACATAGTTTTGAGACTAAAGACGTAGATTTCACACAAAAAATCAGGATGAATGAAAATGCATATTTGTTTGACATCAATGTTCTTCCCTTTTCTTCAGTTCATTTGTATTTTTATTAACAAACATAACAAAAAATGTTCATTGTGGTAAATAAAATAATAATTTGATCTGAGTAAGTCTTTCTTCTTCCCAATTTGTAAAAAATCCTTATGTGATACAAAAGAATGAATATTATTTTTGAAATCTGCATAGCTGAATTATGGAAGATCTGTTATTAAAACCAAAAATAACTTTTATGAAGTTTAAATTTGCAGACCTGTGTTATTGGATAAAGGAATGATATTTGGAGGTGGTAATTTTTATTTTGCCTGGGAAAGAAGATTTTCTGGTTTTGTAGTATTTGTAATATGTCTCTGAGAAACTATACTGTAGTTGATTGGATAAAGGAATGATATTTGAAGGTGGTAATTTTTATTTTGTACCTGAATTACTTCTTGTTAGTCATGTATGTTTTGTTTCATTTTATAACAAAATTTCATGTTTAATATTGTTTTAATCCTTTTATTTCCTAATTGTGACTTATGCATTAATGTATGTAAAATACCTTACGCATGTAAGGGTTAAAGTCTTGGATAACAGTTTCAGTTAACCTATTTGTATGATGAACAGCTTCCTTAAGTAATTATTATGTTAATGGGTATTTTAAGGTAACTATAATCCCTCTTAGATACTTTCAAGCAGTTTTTCAAAATAGTTAGGATATCCATGGACTTCTTGATGAAACATAAGAGATTTTACTTTTATGAATTATTAGAAATGTAGTCAGTAAAAAAATGACTGAAGAGTGTAAAAAATATATTATAGGAGTTTTAAAATTTATTTTTTATTAATAGTACATTCGGTCTTATGATGTATCAAGGGAATCATTATCATTTACATTATTGTTAATTGTTTATCAGCACAATAGTTAACATTAGGAGCTTGAAGGTGATTTACAGATGTGCTATGAGAACATTAATTTTGTCTTAATTAGTGACACCAGTAGTAATACTACAGTTGAGGGCAATGGGTGAAGTTTGGATTTGAAAATTTGGATGATCATTCTCAGTATTGCAAAGGGCTCAGAAGAATTATTATGCTATAACAATCATTCCATCTTTGGTTCTTTAGTTTTTTAATTTACTTCAATTAGTTTTCTTAAACTTATACTAACTGAATAGAAAATGTTTCACAAACTATATCATTCCTAATAGAAACAATAATCAGAAGTTGGTGCGGAATGAACTAAACTTAGGAGAAAATGTTAGTGCATACAAACTATATATGATACCTTCCAAGCTGTACGAGGTATAATTTAATATCATCAGATCATTGTCAGAGTTTTCATCACATTCACAGGAGGTAGATTAAGGTTTTAACTTGCTTTAATTGGCATGTTCTTACTGCAGTTTTTTGAGGAGTAATACTTCATATTTGACTTGTTGAGAATGTCATGAAAGAAAGTGATAAGAATACACTCTTTTGCATAACTTTAAGTCTTTCTATGTAATACAGAAAAACTAAGGTTGAAATTTCCAATATACTACTGATTTATATCATAATTTTACAAAATAAAATTTTAAACAAATCATCTAAGTTAAATTCACTTAGGTTAATAACATTAATACAAGTTTCAAACAAGTGATGAGAGTTACTACCTATTTGAAACACTTCTTTGAGAATTACGTGATGAAAACCCGTTTCTTAGAAGTAGTATCGCAGATACATAAGAAGTCTTCTGTGTCCTGCTATATTAGCAGTGTATAACAACAAACTGAAGTTGACATGATTTTACTTCTGACAAGATATGATTTTGTCAAATAACAAATTACACTCAGTAGTTCTAAAATAATAACTACTTTAATTTTTCTGTGAAATATGATAACCCAAATAACTAGTTTGAAACAGGAATCGTATATTAAACAGTTTGAGCAGAAAGATGGCTACAAACCTTTACAAATATACCATAACCACAAAAATGTTGTTCCACTGGTCTTGGAATAGAAATTAAAAAAACACCACATACAAATTAATTTACGAATCCATAGGAATATAAATACAATTATTTAAAATTTGTGTTGGTTAACTGTTCATGAAAAAAAAAAATGAAGTAAATGGGCCTTAAATGATATCGGGTTTTTCTCACCAATCATCAGAGAACAAATGATATACAAATACTTTATTTTCTCTTGTCACACTCCTTTTACATCATATTCAGAGAATACCACTCATCTTCAGTAATACCAAAAGGAATGACTTATTTCAAATGGTGGGTTGAATTCAAAGTTGGTAAAATGTGAAAACAGTTAGATCATATAGAAGAAATACTAGATTTAAGTGAAGATTTCTGATATTTATTCAAGTACTTTTGAATATTATATAAATCAAGTAGAAATCTCTGATGGGATTTTAACATTACCAATTATAAGAAATGACAAGAACTACAACTGGAAATTCTCTAAAATGACTACCTAATCTAAAAAAAGAAAACTTATTGTGAACATACTTTTTAAACATGTTGAAATATCTCAAAATGTCAGAATTCTGAAATGCATACAAATACAGCGATGTTAAGCTGTGAGTACAGTGTAAACTGAGAGACAAGTGGACACATAACTGCAAGTACTGTATTGGAAATAAAAAAGATAAAGAAAGAAACTGTGAATGGTAAACATAATTAAAGTTCCAGTCAGGTATTCATTATACAGTACTTTATTAATGTTGTAAGATGCTGATGATACCATAAATTATATATCAACAACATTTCTTTCACAAAGTACAGTTACAAAGAGTTGTAAAATTCAACAGATTTTCAGAAAATATACAAGGAACAACCAGTCAACAGTGGAAGAAAACTCAAACACTCACATTGAATCAGTAGGAAAAATCTTAAAACAAGAACTTGGTTTTTTCAATTAAATTTAATAAGTTTATAAAAGATTTACAAATGCCAGTAATAAGAGTAAGTGGGATGAAGTTTCTTAAGATAAAAACAAAATTTACATTTCCAGGAGGAAAAAACAACAATACACAATGTACATGAACAATAGTATAAAGAAAAACCACTACGAACTGAGTTAACTGAAAACATCTAGTCAACTTTTGAAGATCTGATGTCGAAAAAATGTTTCTTGTTATCCATGACACAGAGCTTAGATCTGGAACACTGGTAAATTGAATATGTCTTTACTTGTGCACTGGAAGTGTTGCACAGATATATACTCAATAAACATACACCAATAACAAGATGCAGACTACTCGATACTATTAAAGTAAACATTTGAAACACACTATGGGTGAATACTAAACCTAATGTACATTGAACGAAAGGCTCAAAAAACGGAGGGAGAATTAATCATCAAATGCTAGAAAAACTGGGTAGTACAGGAGTAATGAAAACAAAAGAAGTCACACTCTTCTAGTTGAAGTGACAGGCCTTACACTATTTTCTTAAACTTTTGAATCTAATATATGGAAAATCAGTGTTACAGCAAATATCATTAGCTGTACACAGAATAAAAAGGCAATACAAATGAGAGTATATAAAAAAATAAAAGTGAGGCTTATTTTAATGAATAAAGAAGAGGAGACTTGTGATTAAGCTTTTATTGAGAAAACAACAAACGATTTGACATTGAATCAAATATTCATAAGTAAATTAAACTGGGTTATACTTGCAATTAAGAATACAAGAATATCTCAAGTGAAATCCAAAGCTTTGTGAACATACTATGAAAACAAAATAGAATAAAATAAACAAGCAAAAAAGTTTCTTTATATAAACAACAGCTAAAGTACTTTCATTCTATACCCAGTAGTATAAATGGAATGACTCTTCATGGTAAAAAAAACATACACAGCACACTTAACTAATGTACTAACACCCAGATTTAAGTTAACACAGAGAAAACAAAAATATTTAATTCTAATGACTTATCAAAGATCCAGCTTTCCATCAACTTATCGAAGTTCCAGCTGTACAGGCTTTCCATCAACTTCAGTTTTCTTTCCATGATGTAAAATGTAATCTCTCTTAATGTATGCAAACAGAAGGTCTGTTATAAGGAAGATCTAAAAAATGAAATTTTATTAATATAAATAACACTACTGAAATATCAGCATTATTGGTAAATCACTACAGATGAAATAAATAACAATAACACTACTGAAATATCAGCATTATTGGTAAATCACTACAGATGAAATAAATAACAATAACACTACTGAAATATCAGCATTATTGGTAAATCACTACAGATGAAATAAATAACAATAACACTTAAAAATAAGAAAATGAATGAAAAATACTGCAACTCTTTATAAGGTGACTAAAGATATATATAGCACATTACAGATTAATTTGGACCCCACAGTAGATGGGAGAAAGTCTTTTCATACATCATGGAACCAATAAGACAATCTGAGATAAAATAATTTCATATCACAGAACCATAAACTGGTTCAGACCACAGTAAATGGGAGGAAGAATGTCATGTCATATATCAAAGAACCAATAAGACAATCTGAGATAAAATAATTTCATATCACAGAACTATAAACTGGTTCAGACCACTGCAGATGGGAGGAAGAATGCTGTGTCATATATCATAGAACCAATTAGACAATCTGAGATAAAATAATTTCATATCACAGAACTATAAACTGGTTCAGACCACAGTAAATGGGAGGAAGAATGTTGTGTCATATGTCATAGAACCAATTAGACAATCTGAGATAAAATAATTTCATATCACAGAACTATAAACTGGTTCAGACCACAGTAAATGGGAGGAAGAATGCTGTGTCATATATCATAGAACCAATTAGACAATCTGAGATAACATAATTTCATATCACAGAACTATAAACTGGTTCAGACCACTGCAGATGGGAGGAGGAATGTCATGTCATATATCATAGAACCAATTAGAAAATCTGAGATAACATAATTTCATATCACAGAACTATAAACTGGTTCAGACCACAGTAACACAGTAAATGGGAGGAAGAATGTCATGTCATATATCATAGAACCAATAAGACAATCTGAGATAAAATAATTTCATATCACAGAACTATAAACTGGTTCAGACCACAGTAAATGGGAGGAAGAATGCTGTGTCATATATCATAGAACCAATAAGACAATCTGAGATAAGAGAATGTTATGTTACAAGCTGATTCAGACCACAGCAGATGGGAGAGAGAAAGCTACATTATATACTACAGACTCGATTATACACTATCAGGTTAGACAATGTACAATGACAGGTTCAGACCACTGCAGATGGGAGGAAGAATGTTAATTACATCTGTTGAGACTGTTTTTGGTGAAAGTCACAGAGATGATTCACTAACCTTGATGTACAAGTTTACATGTTAAAACTATAATCAAACAAAGCTGCTGAAGTGACACTACAATTATGTAAAAGAAGGCTTATGATACCAAAAAAATCAGTCACCTAACTTTAACATTAAAGTCAAGAGTATTTGAATCTTTTACATAATAATAATAATTTACAGTTAAATAATAAAAATATTAACTTTTATCTTTTCTGGACTGAATGTTGGGAATAAACTTTTTCCCTCTATTTAACTGAAAAGTAGGAAGATAATATAAAATCTAGCTTTTAACTCTTACAACACAAACAGAAAATAAAAAACTTAACCTTTTATTCCTTTTAGCCAAAAAGTATTGGAATGCAAACAGAATAAAAAATATTGTTTTTCTGTTTCTACCTGAACAGGATTGTAGGCTAACAAAACAGAAAGGGTATGTGGCATTATCAATATCGAAGTTATCCTTAACATTACTCTTACTTGGGCAGTGTTGTATGCTAATGTAATACCAAAGTAAAAATTAGCATTAGCACTTCCAGGGTAAATCCACAAGAACCACAGAACCGGAGCCAGAACAGTACAACTCAAAATGATGCATCCCACAATAAATGTTTGTCGCATATCTTTATTTGGGAAAAAAACAAAACAACTGTAAATATAACTCAGCTTATAAAGCTGAGAGAGGATACACAGTACTCTTAAGCATTCATTAATAGTGGAAACAATACAATATAATGTGGAAATAACAATAAAATTTCAGAAAAAAAAAGAGCCTCTAAAAATATTGTTTAAGATACAATATAAAAGACATATTTTTGTTTCTTTTTAAACAAACTTTTAAAAATTTCTTGACATTTTTATTTTAATCCCTTTCTATCTTAAAAAAAAATAAAATAAAAGACAAACTTAACACCTTGATGTTGTTCCAATACTTAAACAAATTACTAAAATACAGGAAAACTGATAACATTAAAACTGATACGTAAACATTTTATGAGTGAACAATTCAGACTTCATCAATAATAGAGATTAATTTACTATACACCACTTTACAAGTGTCAAATGTATACATGTTGATTTTTAAAATCTTTTACTAGGGATAACATATGGATATATTCAGCACTTGGTGATTTGTCTGTAAACTAGCTGTGCTTCTCATATCCTCTTTTTTAGGGATAATATTGCACTTTATATTTTCTGCTCTAGAACTAGATAAACAACTGTATTATATAAATACTATGTACAGGTTAAGATATATATATACTTATTAGAAGCCTTGTAGATAAACTGCACAATACTAAAGAAAAACCTTGATTGAATTCCCTAGGTCCAGCTGCATAAAAAAAATTAAATGATTTAACAAGAACAATGTAAAAAATTCAATCTCTCATAAATTACTCTTAACCAAACTCTACTTCAAGGTTTTTAATGTGATGTGTGGATGTTAGTCTTTTATCGACAGTGATGTGTGGATGTAAGTCTTTTATCTACTGTAATGTGTGGATGTAAGTCTTTTATCTATTGTGATGTGCAGATGTAAGTCATTTATTTATTGTGTTGTATAGATGTAAGTCTTTTATTTATTGTGATGTGTGGATGTAAGTCTTTTATCTATAGTGATGTTTGGATGTTACGCTTTTTATCTACTCTTATGGGTGGATGTTAGGCTTTTATCTATTGTGATGTGTGGATGTAAATCTTTTACGTATTACGATTTGTGGATGTAAGTCTTTTATCTATTGTGATGTGTGGATGCAAGTCTTTTATCTATTGTGATGGTTGGATGTAAGTCTTATCTAGTGTGATGTGTGGATGTTAGTCTTTTATCTACTGTGACATGTGGATGCTAGTCTTTTATCTACTGTGATGTGTGGATGTTAGTGTTTTATCTACTGTGATGTGTGGATGTTAGTGTTTTATCTACTGTGATGTGTGGATGCTAGTCTTTTATCTATTGTGATGTGTGGATGCAAGTCTTTTATCTATTGTGATGTGCAGATGTAAGTCTTTTATCTACTGTGATGTGCAGATGTAAGCCTTTTATCTATAGTGATGTGTGGATGTTAGGCTTTCATCTATTGTGATGTGTGGATGTTACGCTTTTATCTATTGTGATGTTTGGATGTTACGCTTTTTATCTATTGTGATGTGTGGATGTAAATCTTTTACGTATTACGATTTGTGGATGTAAGTCTTATCTATTGTGATGTGTGGATGCTAGTCTTTTATCTACTGTGATGTGTGGATGCAAGTCTTTTATCTATTGTGATGTGCAGATGTAAGTCTTTTATCTACTGTGATGTGTGGATGTTAGTCTTATCTACTGTGATGTGTGGATGTTAGTCTTATCTACTGTGATGTGTGGATGTTAGTCTTATCTACT